ATATATATATATGCACACACATTATACAAAGATAAATATCACACAGAAAAATATCGCAAACACAAAGATATATGTGGTTCAGACTTCGAAGAAAAACCTACGTCTCCACGGGAAATTAATAATTTTTCTTTAGTTTAAATTTAAATTATAAATACAAGAGAAAAAAAGAAAGAAATGTTAACTAAAAATTGAAGATTAAAAAGCTAATAATTAAAATTTTGGGTCGGGTTAGGCTAGGATGGGCCGGGTCGATGGTGGGCCAGGTTAAGGTGGGTCGGACCTATTTCTCTAGTCCCGGGTCTAGAGCTGGACCTAGCCCGGCTTGTTTTAAATTATAAATACAAGAGAAAAAAAGAAAGAAATGTTAACTAAAAATTGAAGATTAAAAAGCTAATAATTAAAATTTTGGGTCGGGTTAGGCTAGGATGGGCCGGGTCGATGGTGGGCCAGGTTAAGGTGGGTCGGACCTATTTCTCTAGTCCCGGGTCTAGAGCTGGACCTAGCCCGGCCCGTGACCCGGGTATATCACAGGTCGGGTCGGGCCCGATCCACTACAAACCGAGCCGGGTTTTGACCCATGGAGGGCTGGGCCGGGTTAGCCTGCGGGTCGACCCATCTCGCGCCCAACCCTAGTGGACCTTATGTTGCTTTTGCAATGACCTGGTATATTTGTTATTTTTCACACTATGATATATAGGTTACGGCTGAGCATTCGGTCGGTACAGGTCGGTTTTGACCAAAATTAGCCAAACCTAATTGAACTGCTTCGAATTTAGAACCTCACCGAACCGATGCAGTTCCAATCAGTGCGGTGCAGTCGGGGTGTTTGCATTGTGATGAAAGTTATTGAAATAATATGAAAATTTGATTTACTTTATTGGTTTAACTTTTGATTAGTCAAACAACTGTCAAACATATTCAATCTCATACTGAATTATCTGCTAGACCAGTTAAAGCTCACGTGGTACAATATAGCATCTACAACTACAGTAACAGGCAACTATACTCCAATGAAACCATCTACAAATGATGATATACTTGCATCTATTTCTAATAGAGATTAATTTTGTTGAACAGAAGCAATTATCCAAAATCACCCCTATCTCGAGCACTATAGGCCAACAACAATCATCCAAACTAACTTGATAGAATTAGAGATCTGGCTGGGTTTGAATAGAAAGGAACTGTCCTCAAAGTAATTAGATTTCGATGCACTTCAGTTTGGATATGATTATGATATTGGTTGGTTCGGAGCAATGTTTTAAATATCGCCTGATAAATTGATATTATCGGCAATTTATCGTTTTTTGGGCCCTTTCGCTATGATAAGTTTGATTCTAAATCAGTTATCATTTTTGGATGTTTATCGTCGATAATGCAACGATAAAGTGAGTTATCAGCCAATATTGTCGGCCCAAAAATCGGAATTATTGGCCTTTGGTTTGAGTTTTGATTTTGGGTAACGAGTACCTATTCAATGCACTTTAAACTCGATCCGACCCGAGTTTCTACCATTAGTTAGTAATCCTAAACATAATTATTTACATTTTAGTATGTTCATATTTCATTAAGTATGGTTAGATTATATTTTAGAATATTATATTATGTATATCGCTATTTGGTAACGTCACTCCGATAAATACTACTTATCTCCTGATATATCCCCAATATCTGCTATCCGATATGGATTTTGATCGTCTGATAAATCCCCGATAACTGATATTTAAAACCTTAGTTCGGAGGGTTTGGTTTGAGATTCATCCAACATGCACCGAACCGAACATCTAGCACCGAACCGAATTACCTAAAATTGGGCGGTCCAGTCTGTTAAATTCAGTGTGCACGAACAGTGCTCACCCCTAATATAGGCACATAAAATACATTCAGAGTATACCTATTTTTTGCCCTATAAAAATGTATTAGAAATCAGCAATCCTATTAGATAGATTTTACCAATTGTTAGAATTATGGGTAGATCTAAGCCTAGGTTTCATGGATACGGGTGTGGACACGGACATGGGATACGATAAATTTGTAATATGTAGGATACGGGGATGGTAGGCGCGCGCGCACATACGCGCGTGTCTTTGTCGATATATTTATAATTAAAATACCCATAACTTTGTATGTTTCTTTTACTATCTATGACAATTAAGAATCAAGTTAAAGCAAACAAAGAATTAAGGTATGACAACAAAAGTTTAGTTTTGGTAGCATGAGATATGATGGATATTTTTCAAATTTTTAGTAATGGCTTCGGTTTTCAGGCCAAAAACCTGTTGGTTTTGAGCACGATATACCAAACAAGCTAGTTTAGGGTTACAAGTAATGGGGGGATTTGGTATTGCTATGAACCGCACGTGTCTATTCCTTGGTGAATCAGTGTCCGACACGTGTCTGACAAGGATACAACACCCGAAATGAAGTGTTCGTGTAACCTAGATCTAAGCAGACCTACATTATAATTATCTAACAAAATAAGGCTGCACTTCATGGAAAGTCTTCACTTTGTTTTTTCTTATAAATTGAGTTCCATGGTGAGTAGGCAGTAAATATTTCCCCCTAATATTAATTAAATAAACAGAGCGGATTTAGTGCGGTTCTGAAGGAAGAAATTCCTTCTTTAGACATATTTTGAAGGTTATTCATGCACTTATTAATTTAGACTGCTTATGATATAGTATAACTATAGTAGTTTTAGTGGGGTTTTGAGGGAAGAAATTCATGTTTTAGACATATTTGAAGGTTAAAGCACATTTCTGCTCGTGAAAGTATCGGGGTTGCAGCAAACATTCCCTTTATCCCTTTTATGGTTGTCATGCATTAGGTCATTGTTGCATGGACGAAGCAATGTATGGACGAAGCAGTATGCTGGTTGCTAATGTGACAGAACAATGACTGTCATCTTATAGAGGTGTTGGAAAATATTTTTTTGCGAATGAGACATTTGCAATCAAGGGGAATCAAAAAATCATATCTTACAGTAGAAGCATTGGGAAATGAGAATAGCTGCATAAAACTTAGTAAAATGGAAGAAAACTTCATGTATTATGAACTAAAGCCCTGAGAGGATTACTGATCAAGCGATTTTGTACCGTGAAAATGATTTGGTCTTTGGTGGACAGATGAAACACATTGACTATGATAGAGCTGGTGTTTGTTGATGACATGTGACTAGCGTGCTGATGACCTGGAAGTTCAGAGAGATCTATATGAAGAAATAACTTGAAGGATTTGAGGTGGGTGAATTAAATGGAGTGTGTGCTTATATCGGTATTAGAACTTCCAGAGGTGCATATTGCACACTAAGATGGTGATGAAAAGGCCAATGCTTTATGGTCTAAGATGTTAGGCATAAGAAAGCTAAACTAAACAATATGACAAATGAATCTGTGGTATAAACCGTGAGGGACGAACATAGGAGTTCATGAGATGAGTCAAAGGATGAGCAGTTTGGACTTCAGATGTGGTGGGGAAGCACACATCAAAGAGCTAGGGCATCCTGTAAGATTGGCACTCATGGCCACATTCATGAATTAGAAAAAAGATTGAAAGTAACACAGTTGCTAGTGATTTGAGGATGTGATAAAATCTTTGTTCTTATAAATATTATCCTTAAAAGAATGATTCATGAAAGAGTATGAGGCTAACTTGTTTTAGGTAGGGAAGACTTGATAGTTTGGTTATGGTAATTATCCATCTGATGTATTTCTGGAGACGAATGCAGACTTCTGACAAAATATTTACAAGGTTAGCCTTTGGATGATAAGGAATGATGCGTCCAAACTCTGATCTAATATTTTCCTAACAGTTTCCTAACAGTTTCCTAACAGTAACATGATACCCCCTTCAAGCCTGATGGCGAAATAGCTGCTTTTCATTAATCACCATTAAATTCTAAATCTTGAGTTAGACAATAGGTTGTCCTTTTCTGATCTAAGGTCATTAAGCTTCCATAAGTTGAAGCAGCTGCCATTAACTGCTTTTAAATTACTGCAGGATCTCCTCACCTCCTGTTTTTTTGGTTGGTTATTTAGAGGATTTGAACTTGCGGTCTCTGACAGCCCAACCAGCTCCTCAGCAAGGCCAGTGGTTGTTATGGGCTAGACTTAGACATGCATCCTTAACCTTTTTAAGAAAATAAGTATCTCCCATTCTAAATTTTCAAATGATGCCTACTGAAGGTGAGACGAGCAAAATAGGGATAATAATGTGTGGACTTAAATGGAATATTACCTGCATATACAATAGATTCTAGAATTGATAAGTTAGGGGATTTGAATTATCTTTTGTTTATGAGGAACATATTTCGATGTGAATCTTGTCTGTAGTAATTATGTAAAGGGCGAACTGCACATAGACATAGACCCACTGTAATATCGCTCTTTTGGAGCTTATTAACCCTATGCGGTTTGATCTTTGGCAGATAGACCTCCTGAGTGAAACTTTATTTTTCTTTTACACTCGGGGATCTATTTGTCAAAAAACAACTCTTTCTTTATTGGTAAGAGAGTCAAAAAAATTCACTCGGAGAGTCTATCCATCAAAATTAAACCACAGATGCAGTAAGTTCTAAAGTGCAATATTACAGGGCCCTATGTTTATGTGTTTCGCTATTATACTCTAAATACATAAATATTTGTGGAATGTTAAACTCATATTCATTTGCACCTGTTGCAGTCACTACTTTGTGACCCAAACCCCAACTCACCAGCAAATTCTGAAGCAGCTCGCATGTTCAGCGAGAACAAACGAGAATACAACAGGAAAGTGAGGGAAATAGTGGAGCAGAGTTGGACAGCAGATTAATGGTCGACAATTGACATGCTTTGCTCCTGGCAATGATGCAAAAAAAAAAAAATGATGATTCTGCCTATATCCAACCAAAATGATCAAAATTATCAAACCTTAGATATATATATTTGTATTCCTATGCAGATGATGATATATCTTCCTTGTTTGCTGTATATTTGGCTTGCAATGCATATGTTTCTGGATATTTGAACTCCTATGTGACTGCGGAGTATTATTGAGCCATGTGCTGTGGATTCCCTTTGCTCTGTTTCTGGTACTTCCATCACAGTTTTTGCCTATTGAAGAGCTGTACTCATGGGCTGCAGAATCTCTTTGGGTCCATCCTCGTACTTTTTGTTTATTGCTCTTCAATTATTGTAGGTTAATTTTTCTCAAGAATTTTACAGCCGGGGTGGAATATTTTGAAGAAAATTTTAGCTGGCTTTGATCTCAGATATGACAAGTTCTGGGCATACATTTTAACTGAGATATCCTTGGTGTTTATGACCGTATTGGATTATTTAGATGCAATCTGAGGATTTAATTAATTGTTGCAGGTAATACTGTCTAGTAAAATTGAATTAGTAGAATGTTAATATTGTGGAAATTTATTGTTTTTGTAGTTAACCCTGCCGCCCTTTTTTCTTATCATCATTTCCTTTAGGTTCCTATTTTCCTCATTTTAGCTATTTCTGCTAGTATGCAAGAGTTAATGAATTTCTAGGGAAAACTAACACGTACTTCGAGAAAACATGGGTTGAACAATGGGAGATCTCAGGTACAAGATCATGAGCGTTTCATTTGAAGGGGGAAAAATAATAAAATAAAATTAATTAACCTTTCATATCTGAATTCAGGATGCGTTTCATTCACAGACTAATAACTAGAGCCACAGATTTTCTCTCTCTTACTACCCTCTTTTAAGTCTTAACATAGAAGATACAAAATATACAAAGACCTGCTGCCATCATCTCACACGGTAGCAAGTTACCGTTCAAAACACTGAACAAGCCCGAAACAAAGAACATTATAGCTCAGTGAGCTAAATTATGACCCATGAAAGCTGAGGCTATCGCTGCTGGTCCAGCCGTCTTGAACTTGAACAGAGTACTGCAGGTTCCACAGGACGTCGTCTATCGATGGACGCTCTCTGTGATCTTTTGCTACACAGTTGAGAGCAACGGCGACTAGCGTTTGTAAGGAGTCTAAAGCAAACGTGCCTCGGATTGTGGGATCGATGATCTCCCGCAGTTTTGATGGGCCATCGCTCAAGCAATCTTGCAGCTGTCGAACATCATAAGATTTACCAATGGCGTTAGTAGGGGGTTTTCTAACAGAACTTAGAGGGAGTTTTTGCGATAGTTTGAAAGTTCAGGTAGAAAGCACCTGCACTTAAGGGTACTTCACAAGAAACCCTCAAGTGAAAAGGTTTAGAAAGTAACATAATTAGTTTAAGAGTTTTTCTCTTAACGGGGGATTTTGTGATATTTTGACAGTTATTTCATTTATTCTCTAACAGTTGATTCATTTATTCATCATCTATCAGGTCTGAGCCTCTATCTGTAGCATACAAATCGAAAGCACTGATAGATTTTTGGCGTTGAGAGGAAATGCGTTAATATTTTGATTCCCACGATAGTATGTATTTTTACATTTTAATAAGACAATAATCATCGTAATCTATTTATTCATATAAAAAACTTAATGAAGGGAAAAGATCAACATACCTCGACTTTTAGCGCCTCCAGTTCATGCTTGGATCCTGGGGGTTTACCCGTCATTATTTCTAAGAGGATCAGACCCAGCTGATGAACGTCTTCTTTTTCACCTTGCTCTAAACTACGAATACTGTCAAACAAATGATAAATACAATAATTAGATTCAAGATGGAAATCTGAATTGTCCTGAAATTTTCCAACTTCAGCAATATATAACCTGCTTCTAAAAACAAAACAAAACAAAACCATAACCATCTGCTGGCTGTAGAAAATGAAAGACACCACATTCATCTTTTTTAGCTGAAAGCTACATCTATCATCATTGAATGGCATAGTTTTCTTAAAATTTCTGTTCCTAGTTTTCCACATCTTAATCCCACCACTCATAATCTTCTGTGTAAACCTTAGTTCACTGTCACTGTCACCGTGAGGGATCAACCTTAATTTGTGACATAGTATGTATATGCCACTTTAAACATTTTATTAGGGGTTGTTAGTAGTGTATGACAACACTTTTCTCAACGTCAATATTATAGAAATTTGGCATTCATCTCCTTCCACCTTCTATTTAGTATTTTTTTTTAATAAAATATCAAAATTTGCTACTATTGTTGATTTATAAGATTATCATCGATTGAGATAATCCCAAATTGAAAAAGATATATACATATAGTAATAGTTATAGTAATCTGTACTTGCTAACGTCATTACTTTCATTTAGCAATATTAGTCGGAGCTTCAACAATATTTCTAATGTTTTAATGAAGAGAGCTAGAATAAACATAAATAGACCAAGGACTGTGCACCAATGTTTTGTTCTTTAATAAATTTAACTTTGAGATTCGTACTTGTGTGTGATATATATTAAGACGTATCTCGAAGATAGCATTTATATTACATCCCAACACGAATCTCAAGGTATATCCGAAATATAAAAAAGTTGGTACACAGAGCCTCAGTTGTTATTAGCTTACTCAGACTTCGATTGGTATTCCATCTTTCTGAAGCATGCATATGTCGCCATCAAAAATTGATTCTCGACAGTGAACAAGTAAAAACCACAAGTGAACTCTACTGGTCCTAGAATCAAATAGGCGATAACATTTACCTTCCTCGATCGTTCTCTTCCAATGTGCTGAAAGGGCTTTCTGAACCTACCTGAAACACAAAACAAAAAGTTTGGCTAAAATGTATACCGTAAAGATTAAATCCTAAATTCAACTTTTGTACCTTCAAATAGTTACCTTATTATTCTTATTCTTGTTCTTTGATAGCATGGGTAGATTATAGTTGCTGATCTTTGCCGTCAGTGTTTCATCCAACATAATATTCTCAATGCCAAGATCATTTCCAACAATTCCAGGTATAGTTACAGTATGCAGGAATTGGATTCCCCTTGCAACCCCGATTACTGCTGATACTCTCTGGGGCCATTTCAGCATCTCTCTCTTTCTCCATTCTACAAAGTTAGAGGAACAAGTAAATTTCGCCTTCTGCCCTCTATTTTGGAAAGGGTTATTTGTGGATACCAGCTCTGTGGTATCATTGTTTTGAGCTTACTATCCCTCTACTTTTATTATCGCAGATAGAGCCCCTGATTTTTTTTTTTTTGACTCTTCAGCGGGTCTATCTGTCCAAAAGCAATCGTCTCTTCTATGAGGGTAAGAGAGTTCTAAAAAATGAACTCAAAGGATCTATCTACAACAATAAAACTAGAAGGGTAGCAAGTTTCAAAACAGCGATACCACAGGGGTCTATCCACAAACCCCTTTTGAAAAATTATAGCATAAAGAACTAGTTTGCATTTTGTTACCGGTAAGATGACTCTTAAGCGTTCCATTTGAAACGGACTCATAAACTAGGAAGAGGGTGTCGTTGGTGCTTGTGTTGTCTTGGATGCTAGGAATGCAATGTCCGAGGATGCTGACCAAATTAACATGCCTGAGTTTTGAGATTACATCCATGTATTGTGTCAGGCTCTGAGGTGAGAGCTTCTGTTTTAACTTCAAACTTCTGATCATGACTGTGGATCCATCTTGGAGCCAGCCTTTATAAAACTGTCAGGAATCGAACAAACATATGAACCTTCAAATGACTTCAGATATAAAAGAAGTGATGGAAAAAAAAAAAACATTCTGAAATTATGATTCAAAAGGAGATCTCTACGAGTTCGCTTGTAGACTGTAAGTAGAACTATGAGTACTGTTTACCACATGCTGCAAGTTAATGCTTGACTAGTGTGGATATACCCTGATGCTATAAATCCCAAAGGGTTGATAGGTTCCATAAAATCGAAAACTACAAATTTTGGGGAGTAATCATGTTGTCAACCAACATTCATTTTGGGGAGTAACAGTATGTGGATATCCAGGGTTCAATGAATAGCTTGATTACTATTTTGCCGTAGCATTAGCATCAACATTTAATTAGATTAAACTGCATGAAAGCCATGTTACCTGTCCTTGAGGGCCATCAGAGACCAAATTTGAGTCCTCAAATCCATTTGTTGCTTCATCGAGCTCCTCCATTGTAAATACCTGATAAGGCGTCAACCCGAGCGTACCAATCCTCACTGCTTGAGACATATGCCCTAGAAAAATCAAACCCATTAGATTTATTAAACTCGGATATCTTTATTCATATAAATCTACTGTAACCATAGACATATCAATCCAAAGTATAATTGCACGTATTTGTGTCTGCTGGTGTTCTGGGAGAGACCTGAACCGATGTTTTCAATGTTTTTTGGGTGATGGGTTTTGGTAATTTTACACTTCCTACGTCCTCTGGTCTTGCTTTCTTGAAAATCAAGAACACCATTAAAGACAAAAGCGCAGCACCAGCTACAATCCCTCCCAAAATTCCCAATATAAGGCCTAATTTGCTCTTCTTGGACCCTTCCTCTTTCTCTGGAGAAGGTAAAACTGCAGCTAATGGATCTCTACTGCAATAAGATTTCGGGTGTTGGTACCTCGAATCTCCTACCGAGTTCAAACAATTCCATGACTTCAAAACAACCCGGGTTGAAGAATCAGAACTCAAACAAGAAGGCAATCCACCCATCAAAAGATTTCTCGAAATATCGACAAACTCAAGATTATCCCCGCAAAGTAATTTTGCAGGAAGAACTCCGGCAAACCTATTTCTAGACAAATCCATGTAGCGTACTAACGGTAGAGAGAACAAAGAAGGGGGTATTTTCCCATTGAATTGATTCATTGACAAATCTAGCTTCTGAAGCTGATCAAATGAAGCAAACCCAATTGGAACATTACCACCAAAGGAGTTGTTCTTCAAGACTAACTCAGTGAGGTTTGCTAAGCTTCTAAGATCAGGCACTGTTCCATTGAACGAATTGCCACTAAGAACAAGGCTCTCAAGGTTAACCATTGAAGAAATCCCAGCTGGGATTTCTCCATAGAGGTGATTTGAGCTCAAATTGAGGTCTCTTATGGAAGAAAGTCTAGCGATCTTCGGAGACAACGGCCCCCAAAGTCCGAGGGAAACAAGGGATAGTGAAGTTAAGCTTGGGAGCCTAGTGAGAGTAGTGAAGAAAGAATCAGCAGAGAAAGAAGGAGATAAGGGGGCTGAGCTGTCGCCATTGATTTCGAGCTCGGTGATTCTAGTACCGTAACAAGAGATTGAGAGTAAGGGAGAGGACGGGAGGTAGCAGAAATTGGTCGCATTGTTTATTAGAGAGAGGGAGGGAGGGTATTCAAGCATGCGTTGGAGGCGAAACAAGGTTTTGATTTGAGAAGGTGAGAGGTTTTGTGAAGAGATTTGAGGGCTCTGGGTTAAGATTAAGGGGAGGAGAAAGAGGAGAGGGCGTAGAGGTGCCATCTCTTCGATGAGTTCGATAATGGGTATTGTGTTTTTCCCCCCTCTGTTTTTGAGGATATGTAGAGTTCAGGTTGAATTGGATGCAAAACAGGAAGTTTGATTTTAAAAAACTTGATGTCGATGATGTGTTCTCAACTTCTCATCATTTCAGAGGATTTTGAGGAGAATACAATGAGAGAGAGAGAGAGAGGAGAGAGAGAGAGAGAGTTTTGGAGTGAAACAGAGCAGAGAGAAGAGGAACAGGGGAGGGTGTCGCCCTTGGAAAGAGGAAGAAAGGGGAGTTTGGCTTTACAGCAAAGGCGGGTGCCGGCGTCACGTGCTAGTTGTGACTTCAGGCGGGTTCCATGCGCGAACTTTTTCTTTTTCTTTTTATTTTTATTTATTTATTTTTGTCGCGGGGACTGTTAATTTTGCTTAATCTTTAAAATTGTACCTTACTAGCTCCATTATCGTGCATCCTAATTACCTTTCTTGATCTGGCTTCCTTTCATGTGTCCTTAGGTTACGCCAGCTAATCGTTTGGTTGAATGTTTGATAGAACTAATCCCATGTGGGTTGTATTCGTCTCCATTGGTGCAATTAAATGCCCTACTTAATAGTTCCAAGAGGTTATCTATAGCATCCCGGCTTAACTCCTAGGTCTAGTTTGGTACGCGGGAATGAGGTGGAATGGAATGATCATTCTCACTTCTCATTCCTTCCTACCAAACACACCATCTTTTTTGAAGTTGGAATGTCCATTCCCACTTCTCATCAATTCCAACTTTATGCGGGAATGAGCATTCCCAATGAAAGGATAGGGAATGAGCATTCCCACTTAAATGGGAATCGATAAAATATACAGCTTTAAAATTCGTCCATTCTCATTTCATTTTATAAATTACACCCAAACGTGAGAATGAGAATGACTATTCCATTCTCACATTAATTCAATTTCATTCATTCTTCCGTTCCATCCTCATCTGAGTTCATTCCCGCGTACCAAACGAGGCGCTAGGATCTTATTTAAGTTCTAAGTTGTTCCCGATCACAAAACTATATCACACGCATGCTTTTAATTATTCGCCCACCGATGAAGTGTTACTTCACATGGAGCCCACCGAAATAGAGCATGAAAGAAAAAGACAGACGCGCAACAATTATACGAGCATCAATTTTGTCACCGAGATCTCCTTAAATGTTACCGGCAGATATTATTCATCATCTAAAAGGAACTATGTCCAATGACACCAATCAACAAGCATACGGTATCAATTAATAGAATTTTAGATGTGGAAATTCACAGGAAAATGAAAAATCCAACAGAATGATACAAAACTAGGGAGTTGTTATCTACAGGATCATATATTGATATATATCATATATTAACGTTAGCCTTTCACGGTTACTTAATTTTATCCTTCTATCGTACACATACAGTATAATCAACTAGAATATTTCCAGTGGGTCCTTTGATTATGGAAGAAGTTGGTTTTAAATTCGCATTCTAAGTGCTTCAATTGTTAGTCACAAAATGGTCTACAAAATGGTCTACATAGCATTTTACAAAAAAAAAAAAAAGATCTTATGGCTATATAGTAAGAAAAATTCTTTAAGGACCCAAAATATGGGACCAATAGAGGGGACAAGTGAGGTGTCCCCCTCCTATTGGATAATGAGTTGGCCATCATTAATGATAGCCAACTCATTATCCAATAGGAGGGGGACACCTCACTTGTCTCATCTATTGGTCCCATATTTTGGGTCCCTATAGCAAAGCTCATATAGTAATTAAGCGTGCCTAATAGCAGTGTTCCTCTATAAATGTATTCTGCATAGACTGTGCTATCAACTTTGTAAGTTTCTACGAGTTAATTTGTGGATCGATATTAAATATAGCTAGAATTTCATTAAATTTTTAGATAATTTCATGATTGGGATGTTACAATATTATCATGTGACATTAACATGAACAATGAACAAAATGTAAAGTCGACAAATTGAATCTTTCATGATGCATTTTATTTTTATGGTTTTTTTTCTCCATGCCAGTCTTCTTAGATTTTTAATATTTTGGAAGTAGTTCTTCAAACCTTCAATTTGCTGTAAGATACCCCAATTTTTAAATCTCGACACTGCTACTCTTGATTGGAGGTATACTATGAATAACATATTAAAAAAAAAAAATTGGGGGTGGGGGGACTAGCAATTTCAATGCTTTGAGAGGCTAATTCTGTGATAATTTATGAGAATTGGGGGACGTAACAACAACTTTAAATGACTTGAGGGATTAATTTTAAATTATTGAAGATCAACGGACTAATACTTTAAAATTAAATTTGAATAGATACAAATTCAATATAAAATTTGTTGAAAAGGGCCAAATAAACTATTTTCATTTGACTGAATACAATTTCAGAAAACATATAACCGAAGAAATATAGTTGACGTGTGAATTAGATAGAGTGTTACATGTCTTTCTCATGAGTTCATTTGTAACCTAAGAAATATAGTTGCAAACAATGAAACTCATTTATTACTCATCTTATTAGAACTATTATTGGGCAATGTAGTCAATTTATGTGTTTAAGTAGAAGCTCACATACATTGTAAGGAAATCGTGTATATATTAAGTAAAATCTTGCATACTTTTCTCTTGAGTTCATTTATAACTTTAAAAATACAATCCGAATAAAAAATGTAATTCATTTAATTCTAAGAAAGCATGTTTGATATGAGACGCTCATCTTATCTATTGCCTTTTCACTGCATCCTAGCTTGATTCAATTTCCTCTTAGCTGCTGGAAAAAAAATTATAATCTCCTACATTACATTATATTGTGTCAACAAAATCATCACTTTGATGCACTCATCAATGTAAAAATTAAGTAAGTTTTTTTTAAAAGTTTAAGATGATCAGCTTAAGTTTTTTTTTTTTTTTTTTGGATTGCTAACTATCATGTAAATAATTATCAACACTAGCATAATTGCATGTTGCCTTTGATATCAAGCATGCATCTTTGAGTTTCCACTTACAACATAATTGACTTCATGCAAGTCTTAATGTTAGGCCAGAGAAACAAATTTAGACCACTAAAAGCAAATTTGAGTATAGTTGAAGTATACCGAACTCAAGCTTGGACAAAATGAATTGCTCGAATTTAGATATATAAAAGTGATTTTTCTTTCTCTTTTACTGAAACATGATGAAAAGGAGATTTATATAAAATAATTGCTGATTAAAATTATAGTCCATGAAAGCCTGTACATATTGGAGTTTTGGTGTAGTCGAAGGGATCTTGATGGAAACTATAGAAATGGTACAAAAACTTTTTTCTTATGGTTGTGTGTCATTCAGTCCAAAGAGACGTCGTATCTGTTTTAGTTTTGAAGTTTGGACTAATTCTACGGAGCCGTAGTTTGAATATTAAATCTAATTGCCAAACTGGCTCCCATGCAATAAAATACACTGTCTTTTTTAAAGCCATATCAATACAAAAAGAAAAGATTTTCTACGTAGACATCAATCTATTCAGACACCTACTCAAATAATACAAATGGTTCTAAAACAAAGCAATCATAATAGTCATGTGGATCAACCTAACTCTCGCCGACAACGTTATATTCATTCCACCCATGAAATACTTTTAGTAATTAGATAATTTAGGTAGCAGCTTACAAAGAGCGTAAGAAGGAAAGATTAATTTTACCAAAACTCAAGAAACTCGATCCACCAAAACTAGGATGTTTTTTTTTTTAAATTATTTTCAAAGAACGTCAATTGCTTTATGGTGGTTCTTGCAATTATTGCAACTCCAAGGACCATATGCCTAAGCAGCCATTGAAAACAAACTTTTCTTTTATCTTAATGCTTTTTCTTTAGTAATTAATAAAGAGAGGGATGCCTTTCAATATTTCAAGTATTATCTAAGGGGGTGTTTGGTTCACTAGTGGGCAAGAACAGGATTAGGAATCCGGTTTTTTTATGGATTCCTACCTATTCCATAAAAATTTTTAAGACAAGTTAATTTATAGATTCATGGAATCTTTTTTTTTCCTCTCTATGTTTGTTTCATAACATGAAAAGATGGAATCCAACTTTATAGAAACCCTCAAATTCCTAATCTTTAGTTTGGTTTGGAATGAGAATAAGATTCGGTCTCATAATAATATAGGGTTTGTGAATAAACGGAATCCGAAAAAAAAGAGAGGGATAATAGTACGGGTGTGTCAGCTTTTTGCCCTAAATCCTCCCAAATCATTAAGATTTGGGTTTCTATAAATACACCATACTTTTTCAACTTTATAGATTTCTAAATCTATAAATTTGTTGAGAACCAAACTCAAAATTAGGATTGATACAAAATCCTTTATTTATGGTTTTGCCCCTGTCAGCTCCAAATCCTATTCTTTTTCCATAAAACGAGTGAACCAAACACAATTTTTTTTTTAGTTTTAAGTTAATAGCTCCAAAGTGCAAATTATCCAAAGATAAAATAAAGTTTTGTGGCATTAAACTGTCAAAAATAAACTTTTCGTGACATCAAAATTACAAGAAGGGGCAAATTTCGTGACACCAAAGTGCAAATCATCCTTGGAATAATGCAATTAGATATGAGCCCTTCAAAAGTGATGAGGATTGCAAAGGGTAAACGAGAGTTGGGCGGCGGAACTGTATATTTATTGAAACAAAATAAACGAATTTTTCCAACGAAGCTTTGAACTCATTAGGAATCGAATCTGATTCTTTGAGTCAACGCGCCAAATAACGCCGACATAATATTATTTGCCTAAGCTTTGAGTCAATTAATTATAATTCCCAAACTTTTCTTCTTCTTCTAGTTGCTACGAAGCGGTACTCGCCCAACTGAGACCACCTCATCGAAGAGTCAACGACTCGAGTGTAGAGTCATTTTCAGTACCCAAGTCCTTAGGCTGCCTACTTCTTGGTAGTATAAGCTACATAAACTAATAAACGAGTTCAGTTTTAGCATATTCTTTTGGTTACACCCTTGTTTTGTATCTTCGCTTGGAGGGCTTTTTCGGTTTATTGAGACTGTAATTATAATGTAACTGTCAATTACGTGCAGCTACTATTGTTGTATTTGTTATGATGTAGTTAGTAATTTCAATTGTTTGGTTGAATTTTAAAATTTTGTAATTTGAAATTGTAATAATAGCTTTTGTTTTAGGATATCGGTTTTTTTTTACTTAATTCCAGGCAACTTAATTTCGTTTGAAGCTAAAGCAAACTGTAGCCAAGGGGCTGTTTGGTTTGCTCAAATTTATAAGG